ATCAAGTCGATAATTCTTTTTAAGCATCGTCTTTTTTTACTGATTCTGTTTTGATCTAATCATTTTGATCCGTCAACAGATAAGAGTTTTTGACCAGTTAACAGAAACATATTAAAGTGCAACCTCGACCCTGGTATGTCTCACACGTCGAAAACATCAGTTTTCGAACAGAAAATTCGAGATGAAAATGCCTTGGTTATCGAACAAAATTTCGGTTCTCGAACAACATTGCCGAACCGAGTTAACCCGAACGGAATAATTTCTGAGTCGTGCGTTGTGGCGTACTTTTCTTTTCCAATTTTATTGTACTGTGACTTTTTTTTCTCTACATTGATTCATATTGGAAAAATATTTCGGTTTACGAACATTTCACGTTACGAACGGCCTTCAAGAACGAATTAATTTCGTGAACCGAGGTTCCGCTGTATTATATTCGTAGACAGATGTGAATTTATTGATCTGTCGATAGAGAAGAGTTTTTGATCGATTCATAGTGAAGTTATATTCGAATAATCATTTAGAAGTCCTAGAAACTATTTTCATTTAATCAAGACAACCTACTTTATGGAAACAGAAGGAAAGGTTGCTAGGATTCAATATGAGTTGTCTTTTAAAATATATATTGGTCTCAGTATATTGTTGATAAGGTGCATTTTCTATTTCATGTTTCCTTTTAATTAATTACGTACAAAAATGTTATTTTCCTCAATTTATTCAGTCGCATGTGCGAAAAGATTGGATGATTTCAAGAATCAAGTCGATAATTTGTTTTAAACGACATCTTCCCTTTTTGCTCATATTATTTTGATCTAATCTTTTTGATCCGTCAACAGGTAAGAGTTTTTGATCCGTTGACAGAAACATATTTTTTCATTCGTCGACAGAGAAAATTTTTTTGATCTGTCAATAAGGAAGAGTTCGTGATTCTTTCATAGAGACGAGGACACATTCGAATTATCATTTAAAAGTCCGCGTAAATAATTTTCATTAAGTCAAGACAACCGTCCTTATGTAATCGGAAGAAATGGTTTCTGGGACGCAATGTGATTTGACTATTAAAAAAATACTAGCAGGTTTCGCTCGCTCGCTATCGTTTCGTAAAAAAAGATATATTCATTACTTGAAATCTTTGAAACAAAAATTTTAAATGAACATTTCATTCATAAATTCGCTTGTTATAATTAAGGAAAGTTTTACAAATAGATGCCAACTTTTGAAGGCCAAGTAAAATGCAAATTTCAAACACTTTTCTGTACAATATAAGATATTCCTAAACAGAAATATTTTAGAGATGAAGATCAAAACAATCCTTGAATAAAAGAACAACAATGAAGGCAGTTAATAAATAAAGTAAACTTTTCTTTAAAATCAATATGCAAATTAGTTAAACCTGAAGAGAGATAGTACCTAGAAGTAGATAATATATAATACAGATATTGTGCTTATATTGCGTAAATTGGGGCTTCTCTGTCAAAGGACAGAGGGGCAACAGAGGAAAATTATACTGAAGAGGTGCCCAGCCCTGAGGAACAGCCGCGCCCTCCCATTGCACAAGAGGGAGGGATCGGTGCTCGCACCGTGGCCAGCGCAACCGACGGTTGCGGGGGCTGAGGGCAATTTTTGTCCCTGCCCGAGTGTACGCGTTCGGGTCCCCACATTAATCCGACCTTGTCTCACATCTCATTCTCGTGGGGGAATGAGTAAACACTGCGTAAATTACTCTAAGTATATTTATGCACATTATTTTATCATCTCCCAGTTGCGTCTCTGTCCTTGGACAGAGTGCGCTCAGGAGCGACTCCGTCAAAGGACAGAGTCGCAACTGAGAAAATTATACTGAAGAGGTGCCTGGCCCTGGGGAACAGCTTCCCGAGGCCGCGCTTTCTCATTGCACTAGAAAGAAGGATCGGTGCACGCACCGAGGCCAGCCGCATTAAACCGACCTTGTGTCACAACCTGACCTCGTGGGGGGTCAAGTAAATACCGCGTAAATTACTATAAAGTACAGCTGGTGCTTTTTTTTTTTTTTTTTGCTTTTTTTTTAAGTATCAAAATTCGGCGAGGATTGAGCCCCAATTTCGCAATTATTTATATAAATTCCATAACAGGTCACCCATGAAATAAAAATAATTGTTTGTACGGAAAGTAAGGACCTACGTACATCAAATCATCTTTAAATTAAGTGGCAGCAGAAGAAATATCATTGAACTTTTAAAAGGTAAGCTTAAACATTAATTCAATACTTAAATGCAACAATCAATTTTGAGTTCTTCTATAGTTTATTGATGCCTATCGTATCTGCTCCTCCCTAGATATTGTGATGATGGCCAAACCAAGATTCCCCAACAGGAGCTAGCTTAAATGCTACCCGATCGGGCGGTTTTTAAATCTAGCTTAAAATGTTAAGCTAGCTAACATTGTGGATACAAAAGGAAAATAAGAGTTACACCCCTTGCATCATGAAAGCAAAGATAATGGCTAGTATAATACATTAATATATATTGTTAACCTTGCATAATCTGGCAAACCTGAATCTGAGCTCAACGAAAATCGTTTCCTGCATCTAATTTTTCTAGGGCTTTTGAATGAGCTATGGATCCTTGAAATAGGGCGGGTGGGAGCGGAGGAGTTGCTTGGAAACACACACTCACAAACGCACGTACACTGTACTTTATATATAAGATACTCACCTCAGTATGTTATTGATACGTGTGTATTTTCTTTTTATGTTTCCCTTTTTTAGTCGGTTTTGCACAAAAATTACTTTCCTCGATCGAGTTCTAGTGTTTGAGGAGCGATAACCGGTTAGCTCATTCTGTTATTCTCTTTGATTATTTTTATTTACAAAATCTGGGGTGCGCATCGTCCTTCCAAGAGGACATGTTTTCAGTTTGGTGCGGATCACATTCTGAATACCATTTAAAAGTCCTTGAAATTATTTTCATTTAATCAAGACTGCCTTAGTTATTGGAAACAGAAGGAATAGGTTGCTGGGACTCAATGTCGTTTGTTTTTTTAAAAATATAATCGCCTCAGTATATTGTTGATAAGGTACATTTTCTATTTCATGTTTCCTTTTAATTAATTGCGTACAAAAATGTTACTTTTCTCGATTTAGTTCCAATAAGTGAGAAGCAATAACTAGTCCGCAATCCTTCCCGGTCTTTTGAACAGGAGTAGAGGTTTATCCCTTGTTTCCTGTTTAGGAGTGGGCTTCCTGTTCTTTCTAAAGTCTATTTCGGTTCTATACATCTTATGTCTCCGCCTAAACTCTGAAATTTTATTTACTACTTATTTTTCTTCAATATGAGTAGATCGGTTCGACTATCGCCCGGTTCATACTCCTTTCTGTTTTTTTGAACACAAGAATAGCTTTATCCCTTGTTTCCTGTTTAGGATTGGGTTTCCGGTTCAGTTTAAAATCTTTTTATTCTCTATCACTCTTGTTAGCCCCTTGCGTCTTAGTAGCATTATCGCCTTGTTTGGAAGGAATTGATTAACTCATCTTTTTTCTTTCTTTTTCTCTTTCTCTTTTTTTTCGTATTAACCGTAGTTGCATTTCCTTTTTATCTTGTTTTTAATTATTTAATATGTCTGTTTTGTTTGATATAATTATATTTTGTGACTCCGACAAGATCATTAAGAAGGGTTTTTGATTCGTTCACAGGGTAGAATTTCTGAAGCATATGCAATATATGAGAGCCATAAATAGTCTTGGCGCTTTGGTTCTTACGATGATGGTTAAAGAAACACCTATTAAAGCCAGAATGTCGGCTCACCTTGAAAAACAAAACCTATATTCGACATTTTGGTTTCTATATAAGCCCAAGCACGGGTCGTTAGCACCGGTGGGAAAACGGAAATAACTCAATTAGCGAGTTGGCCACGAGAAAGAATTTTTATATTTTATCGGTGAAGACTTCACTTCACCCAACATCAGATATGTCTTGCGATCTGTCAGTACAGAAGCGTCCGTATGCTCTTCTGTCTAGAAACTGCTTCCTCCCTTCCCAATTTGGCTCCTCGTTGCTTTGCCTCACCCCGTGATGTTCTGGATCTATCTTTCTCTGGGACGTCCCACTGGCCTCTTGGTGGTTGGTTTCCAGCTGAACTATCGTTTCGGTATTCTTAAGTCGTCCATGAGACGAGCATGGCGTTACAATCTCAACCGAGCTTTCACAGTGACTATCAATGTGCACTTCACGCCCAGCTATTTTCTGATGTCATCATTCTTCATCTTATCCCGACGCGTGTCTCCTTTAATCCTTTGAAGAACTCTTATCTCTTGAAGAACCCTGCCACTACAGCAAAGTTCAACCTTTAACCCCGTCGTGGGGGCTAAGTAACGTCATGTGTGAAAACACACATGATGACGGTCAAAGAGGCACAAGAGAAGTCGCGACAGGCCAAGCAAGCTAGGTAGAGATACAATCTTGCTACTGAGGTTAAGATAAGACCTCGGTATGTATAGACTATTGTCAAGCAGATATTGATTATTTTGGTCTGTTACAAAGAAAATCGAACTCGTAGTGGCTGCTTGACCAAATCGGAACGGTGTCTGTTTTCAGAGAGAACTGTTTACTATTTGTTGACTCCCTTCTGCTGAGTTCTTTCCGATTTGAAGAAGAAATAATTAAATCAAACTTCTTAAGTGTCTCACCTTATTTTCTTGAAACATGTTCGTCTCTTTCAGCGCGACGTGACGTGATATTGAATAAATTACATTAAACTTAAATTAATTAGTATCCAAGATCGATACAATCGTTTAGAATAACCGCTACCTGTTGGCGCCAAAATTTCTACGGTCTGTTTTTTAATACTTTCTTTCTGTTACTCCACAACTCAAAGACGTGCGTGTGCACAAACAGATAGATAGATAGATAGATAGATAGATAGATAGATAGATAGAATAACAACATACACAGCCTAGAGTATAAAATCGATTTTAGCGTATCAACAGTTTCAAAGTTTTGACAGATTAACAGTACGATTTAAATCCACGGCCTTATCACGTTGAAAAGCCAGTTCCCGAATGATCATCGACGTTAAGCAATGTCGAGCCTGTTTAGTACATAGATGGGTGACCGCTTAGGAATATTAAGTTATACCAGCTTGGATGAACGTGTGGTGTAATGGATTATAGCTCGGAATTGTTAATCGGTGAGCCGAGTTCAAATTCCATTTGGGTTCGTGATGTTCACTTACGCGAAAATACCCTTTGAAAAGATGTGAATCCACTTCTCTCCCCCTGGTATGGGTTAATTAGTAAGACTTTTATAATTAAATCATTATTATCCCAAAAGAAAAATCTAAAAATATTTTTGGCTTTAAATAACCTGAAGGGGGTTAATAAGCCGTAGAAAACGAATCAATCAATTAATTCAAATATTCTGCAATAAAAGACGTATTTGTAAATTAAGGAAATTTATTTTTATTTCAAATGTTATTTCTACTGGATACCTGTCTTCTTTATTAGGTTTTCTCGAATACACAGGCAGGTAAATACCCAGGTAGGCAAATGAAATAAATAACGTTTAAGATAAACAGTACGTCTACTCAAATACGGGGATCCAGCCAAAATATGTCGGATCAAAAAATATACCGATATTTTTGCGTTTTCAATTTAAACTCAACGTCTTTCAATTATTTAGAAATAAACAACAACTAGAATAATAAATGAATAATTAATATATGAATTATAAAATGTTATATTATATTATAGAATATTATATTAAAGAATATATCATATTATATTATATAATATTATATTATAGAACATTATATTATATTAAAGAATATATTATATTATAGAATATTATATTATAGAATATTATATTATATTAAAGAACATATTATATTATATAATATAATATTATATCATAGAACATTATATTATATTAAAGAATATGTTATATTATATAATATAATATTATATTATAGAATATTATATTATATTAAAGAATATATTATATTACAGAATATTATATTATAGAATATTATATTGTATTATATTATATTATATTATATTATAGAATATTCCATACGTTTTGTTTAAAAAGGACTATTTTTTAAACTATTAATAATAAATGATTTATTTTCTCTGTATAAAAACACAAATATAAAAAATGTTTAAATTTTAATAAAAATATAAATAAACTTTCATTTATTTACATACATCCACCGTGCGACATTTTAAATAAACAGTTGAAAAAAATTAAATGAACGTGAAAATGTAACGATTAAAAGAATACTGCCAATCTTTTTATTTAATGAAGGATTTATTTGGTTTCAAATTACAAACATTCCCCTAAAGACAGTAGGCTCCCATGTCAAAACAAAATATGAAATTTCCACTTTTTGTCCATTATACAAAATATGAAATTTCCACTTTTTGTCCATTATACCAATATTAAGCGTAGAAAAATATTTAAAAAAAAATGAAATTTATTAAATTAAAAAATGCTTTCCTTTATATTATTCGTAGTGTTGTCCTTTCGGTCGTTGTTGGCAATATTTGGACAACAGTCAAAACAATGTAAATAATTACAATACCATATTTAAGAAATAAAGACAAAAATGCTTTCATTGGCAAATATCTTAACTTATATAAAGAGCACAGAAAGAAATTTTTTGTGAAAATTTTCTTTGGAACAGATTCAGAAAGTATATGATTTTCTAGGAGGCACGGTAGTGGATAGTGGCTCAGATTGAAGAATCGGAGAGGCGAGATCGAATCCCCGTCGAATCCATTACATTGACTTAGTTCTAATACCCTTGGGAAAGGGATGTATCCTCTTCTTCTGCCCCCAGCTATGGGTAAATAGAAGGAAAGGCCGGGTTCTATAGCCTTGGATGGCAACTGGTCTATCGCAGAAAGAAATGGCAGACTATTGCAGGGAAAAATCTACCTCGTCACTATGTATCGAAAGATACATGATCGCCTAAGTGTGTAACACGGATGGTATATAACTGACGGGATAACGGCTCGGATTGAGGAATCGGAGAGGCGAGGTCGAATTCCAGTCGAATCCATTACATTGACTTACGTGCTATTACCCTTGGGAAAGGTAGGTATCCTCTCCTTCTGCCCTCAGCTATGGGTAAATAGCAGAACAGACCGGGATCTATAGCCTTGGATGGCAACTGGTCTATCGCAGAAATAAATGGCAACCTACTGCGGGAAAAAATCTGCCTCGTCAGTCATGTATCGAAAGATACATGATCGCGTATGGCACATAAATTAAAAACAAAACACACACAGAATTTCTTAAATAAAGTGTATCTATAAAAATAATGTATAAGCATAAAATATATTAAATTATTTTGGGACTTAATCCATTTCACTGTCTTTATATATATATATATATATATATATATATATATATATATGGACATAATACGTCTAAATTATTTAACCAACACTGCTTGAATATATATATATATATATATATATATATATATATATATCACATTATGAAATGTACAAAGTCCAACAATTATTTTAAGACATTTTGTATGTTTATACATTCTTTTTATAGATACAAATATTTAAGTAAATGCTCCGTATATAATAAACAGTATTAAACAACATTTACCGGCCTGAATGTCCGAGAAATTTTCGCAGAAAATATTCGTCCTCCGTCAGGATACGAACCTGTATCCTATACGGAACCGTCATTTAGCTTGACGTGCCTTTACCGATTTGGCCACAATTTTTGGCGCTGTCAGAACCACCGCAAGGTAATTTTACGTCGTCCTGTGAAGTTTTGTTGAAATCGGTTGAAAAATGTAGGAAATCCGATCCAATATATAAACGTACAGACACACACACAACCTGGGTTTTATAATAAGTATGATACTGAAGTAGTAAGGGGACTTGCTACCGTTTGATCTAAAGTGATAGCCCCCACTTCCAACTCGCGTGAAAATTCAATGAGTACAAATAATAATAATAATAATAATAATAATAATAATAATGATAATAATAATGCATATTATAATGTATTTTTGAAGATCTTAAAAAAAAAACTATCAAAATACAAGGATCTTAAAATAGAAATTTCATTACTGTGGCACAAGAGAATCTCAGAAATTCTAGTTGTAGTTGGAGGCCACGGATTGATGGGAAAAGCTTCTGATAGACTCATTGAAGGGATTACTGGTACGTCAGACCTTAAAGAAATACAACAACAAAAAAAACTGTACTCGCAAGTACAGTTCACACATTACGAAGAGCTTTATCTATGTAAAATCTGTGTAATCTTAATTTTTGTTTTGTTTTCTATTTGTTTTATTTGTTTTGTTTTTGTTTTTGTTTTTAAAGATCAGTGGAAAATGTCATGAAGCTATTTCTTAACTTAGGTCTCTGGGTGGGACCCGGAAAGAAATGTATTTATAACGGAAACCCAAGGAAATAATAACAATAATAATAATAATAATAATAATAATAATAATAATAATAATAAATTGAAAAATATATATTGTTTTTATCTTTTTAAATTATTATTTGCTGTGTAAACGCGAATCACATTAAAATTCGATGATTATCTCTCTCTCTCTCTCTCTCTCTCTCCGTCTACCGTTCGTTTTACTTTTCTTTGAGAGCCCGCATTTCGAAATAGTTTGCCATAGCAACAACTCACCAATCACAGCTCTTAATTGCCAATGATTTTACTTGCTGTGTATTAGACACCACGAAAAAAATAAGGTCGTCTAGCTAATCAGAAACAAACATGTTATTAATAATAAATAAATAAGGTGTTCATTGTTCAAATCTTGGCTATTGATAACGAAGCGACCATTTCATATTAAAGGCTTTGGCTTTTGCCTGTGTCTGCGCATTTATCTCAAGGTTCCCGTGTATATCTAAGCGATCGGTACTTGTATGGGCGTGTCTTCCTCTTTCGCACTTACGTGGGTGGAAGTGAAAGGCCATTGATCCTTAAGTGATGAGAGGAATAATGTTTGCTTTTAATGTGACTTTCTCACCATTTCTTTCTGAGTGGAAAGCATTTTTGAGTCTTTTGCGTCTATCTTCGTCTGTTCGAATCTGCAAGACACATTAGTCTTCGAGTCGATGGATATGATTCCAAGTGATTCAAGAAAGCACCGATTATTATTATTATTATTATTATTATTATTATTATTATTATTTTCTTTGATTTCTGGCGCTTACACATTTCTTTCCGGGTCCCGCCCAGGGACCTAAGGTTAGAAATGGCCTCATGACACTTTCCACTGACAAAAAAAAAAAAAAAATCATAGATAAAGCCCTTCGTAAAGTATGGGCTGTACTTGTCAGAACAATTTTTGTATCTCTTTTGAGGCATGGACTTCCAGGAATCCCTTCAATTAGTTTACTCCAACTTTTTCCAACCAGTCCTAGGGCTCCAACTACAACAGGGATTGTTGATGTTCCCATATGCCACATTTTCGAGATTTCTATTTCAAGGTCCTTGTATTTTGACAACTTTTTGAATATCTTCAAAGATACATTGCAGTCAGCAGGGACTGCCATATCAATAAGGAAGCACTTTTTTGTTTGTGGTCTTTAATAACAATGTCTGGGCGGTTAGCTTTGATTGTTCTTTCAGTGTGTATTGTGTAGTCTCATAGAATTGTAACAGGTCCTATCTCCGTAACCGGGTTTGGGTGGTGTTCATACTATTTTCTTTCAGTTTCCTTCTCGTAGAAGTTGCAGATTATTATTATAATTGTTGTGGGGTCCTCCCCTTTTCATATAAGTGGACTCTACCAGTGTTACTTGGAGTGGGGCCGTTAAATACCCAGAGTAGTCGGATAGAGAAAGGATATACGGCGAGAGAGAGAGGATATACGGGAACAGTCAGAGAATATACGAACGGAGATTGAGTGAGGTAACCGCTTGTAGAAGTCAGTTACAAGCACGTAGACTCTAAGGAAGTCCTACTTCGAGACTGTATATATCTATCTGTATTTGCTACTAACCGCGTTCCTGGACTTATTAACAGTATTACTCTTTGTATGATTGTGTAAATACATTTTATTTCTTATATTTAAATATTGCGTTTGTCATTCCTTGGAGACCGAATTCATCTTGGAATCCACAACAATTATTATTATTA